CGTGTCATCTCCCATTCTAACTGTACCGCCAGAATATGATTCATAGGTGCAGAACCATTCCCTATATGGTGTCATATCAAACGATGCTCCAGTGTCAATAATCCAGTCATTAAAGTCACTATGACTGTCAAACGCCATGTACAAGTCCCCTGTACTATCATCATCATCCTTCTTTGTACCCGAAGCAGAAGGTTGTGAATCATCCCGCTTCTCAGGACCTACGCTTTTACTTCTGCAATTCCTTCTCAGATGTCCAAACTGTTTGCACCTCCAGCACCTCATTTCAGATTTATCAGATTTATCACGGGACTTTGACCGTCCCCTCGATCTTCCTCTATGACCAGACTTTGATTTGTCACCACTCCTCCCTCTAGCAACCAAAGCCTCATTGCTGGTACCTTCAGAACCTACCCTTCTCATCTCCTCAGACAATAAGGCAGCAACAACCGTCTCAAACTACAGTTTATTAACACCAGTACCAATTGACACAATGATGTGCTCCCAAGAGTTGGGCAGTGAACACCAACAAGGTGCAAGCTTTGTCTTCCTCGTCCAGGTTAATGTCTATAGACGAAAGTTGTGCACAAATAGTATTAAATTCATTTAAATGAGCAGAGAAAGAATCATCTTCGCTCATCCGCAGATTATACAGCCTCCTTCGCAGGAACAACTTGTTCACGAGTGACTTGCTCTGATAGAGACCTCCCAGCTTCGTCCAGAGATCCTTCGCGGTCTTCTCAGAAGTTACGTTCACCAGAACGTTATCTGCCAGTCATAACCAGATCAGGCTTCGCGCCTTTCGATCGTCTCTGGTCCACGCCTTCAACTCCTTCGACTCGCCTTCACCTGATGTTTCATCACCGACAGGTTTTGTAATGTCCCACATCGGTTGGAAAGGGGAACGAAGCATGCCTTATAAGGGTGTGGATACCTCTTCTAGGGTGAGGCCTTTTGTGGGGTGTCCCAAGAAACAAAACCGTGAGCTCGACGGTGCTTGTGCGCGGGGCAAAGCGGACAATATCATGCTACAGGGTTTGGGGCTGTTACAGGTTTCGTTGGTACCGATGGCTTATCATCTTAGATCACGTACCACACGTCCCTGTCAACGAGCAGAGCCTCCATCTTCAGCTTCCATAACTCGAGCCCTTTTCCTCCGAACTTTTCAACCTCGATCCGTGATTGGCCAGTCGACATCCTCTACAAATCAATTTCGCAGTTTTCTCTATGCCAAGAAAAAATCCCAAATCGCAAAACCCCAATCTGTCACAGGAACCCCGGTCGCAGAACCAAAGCTCTTGATACCAAATGTTGGAAATCGACAATCACAAATCGAAAACGAAAAAGAAAAAAGAGAGAGAGAGAGAATAGACACAACAATTTACCCTGGTTTACCCAATATAGGCTACATCCAGCTTGTCTGTACTATATTCACCTCACCGCCACTCGTTACAAGTCACTCGGTTTACAAGGAAAATATAAATAGGATTAGAAAAATCTAACAGCAGCTATTCATGGGCCCAAGCCCAAACAACGGGACCCCAGTTGCCTTTCTGCTGACCCCGATAACTAAGGCCCTTATCAGCATGCGAAGTATGAGCCATACCCAACATTTGCAACACGTGATTCAAGTGGATAGGGATAAAAGGAATAAGACCACATGGTCATGGACAAGAAGCACGAAAACTATGAAATTAATTGACGTATGCAAACAACATTCTATGTCACTATACATCTTGAAATACACAAACAAATGTCCTTTTAGTAATAGTTTTAGCAATATGGTTGTCAGAACTAATAATGAGTAAAATGCATTTTCATCAAAATATAAAGAGAAAACTACTTAGCGGTCAAAGTTAGGGAGAGTGACCATTTTGTCACGTTTGGACAAAAAAATTATCAGACTGCCACGCCAACAGTAAATTTTGCCAAAATGCCACGCGGCATAATTCGCTACACAGTGTAGCGAAATATGCCACGTCAGAGCCAAAAATGCCACATGTCAAATTCAAAAATTTGACATGGCATATTTGGCTCTGACGTGGCATATTTCGCTACACTGTGTAGCGAATTACTTGCATACATAATTCGCTACACTGTGTAGCGAATTATGCCGCGTGGCATTTTGGCAAAATTTACTGTTGACGTGACAGTCTGGTAATTTTTTGTCAAAACGTGGCACTTTGATCACTGTTCCTCAAAGTTAACTATTTGTCCATATAGACATTGTGACAGAGCAATATCAATTAAGGAAGAAAGGCAGGAAAAGGGGGGAGAAGAGAATTTGGTTCTTTTTTTACTAACTTCAAATAGAAAAAATGATGAAATTACAGTTGAAAATTTTCTGATCAGTGATTGCCTAAGAACAGAGATTTGAGATATTCTCTAAGGGTGTGTTTGGTACAGGAGAAATTTTTTGGTGACCGGGAATCATGATTAATGGGAATTCAGTAGAAATTGAGTTTACTTGGAATCTTACGAAAGATGTGTTTGGTTCGCCAAAATATTACCGGGAATACTGGGTAAAAATTACTGATTCCATATTTGGTTTAGAACGAAATATGACTTGGAATATGAGGTTATTTTACAAAAATAACCCCAAACTATTTTTACTTTTGTAATTGATAGATTGAGTCTAGATTTTTATGTGTATTGGGGTATTTTTGTCTCAAAATTTATTGTTGTGCTTTCCCTTTACTTGGTATTCTGATTGGTATTCCGAATTACCATATTATTTTTGGTAATCTGAATAGTGACTTTTCTTTATAAATCAAATTACCGGTAATCCTTGGATATCCGGGAATCGTAATTTATTCCTTCTACCAAACGTGGTAATTACATTTACCAAAGAAGGATTACCGGTAATCTTCTCCAAAAACTTGAACCAAACACCCCCTAAAAACATTTTTGGTTTAAACTGCATTCACAAATAGTTTTGCGGACGGCCATGTGCTGTATTAAACGAGGAAAAAACTATTTAACATTTGGACAAAACAGGCGGTGCAAATATATCTTGTTTGAGTTTGTTTTTCAATTATTTGAGTAGTGTTAACTTTCAAGGTTGAGAAATTGAACATGACCTATTAATCAGATAAATTAATGCTCACATGGGTTCAAGTTCATGATTAAGATGTTTTAATATGCAAAACAACTGTCCTAAGTAAGCATTGTTATGTGAGAGTGTAAGTCATTACAGGAATAAATATGTTATATTCGAAATTTGTAATTACTGATAAGCATCCTATTAAATATGTTGTAGACTTGCTGTTTACAACTGCACTTTTTATCATGTTCCCTAAATTTATGTCAGGTGTGCTACTGGAAAATCAAATATCCACCAAAAAGATACAGCTGACCCTCAGTTAAGGGATATACAGATAAATTAATGCTCTTTGCAACTTCACTTTTTATCATGTTCCCTAAATTTATTTTTGAGAAATGTGTAATTTATTTTTATATATATATACAGATCAATTTTAAATTATAATTATTAAGGGATATAGCTACATTGTTCACAAAATTGATAAATTTGTTTTCACTTATGAATGATACAATTTATCAGTCTAAAAGCAACTTAATTATATCCCAAAACAAATATGCTTATAAAATGATTGAGAAAAGTGATAATTGAAAATTCATTAGCCTTTAGACCCTTAGCTACCTGGGTAAGATATAAGCTAGATATATAGCTTACCAAAAAAAAAAAAAAAAAAGATATAAGCTAGATATATAGAAAACTGGATTTACGTGTAGTACCAAACAACAATACTCAAAAAACAATGATAACTGGGTAGTTAGCCTAGATCACATTCTGTATCGGATGGTTTTGGTGTGAATGGGGTATATCATCCAAGAGATTCAGAAAAAAGATAACTTAGAGAGGGAGATGCATGAGCCATAAAATAAATCAGTATTTTTTCTTTATGGACTAGTCAATCAGACAAGCATAATAATTACTTCGGTGCAAAAATGGTGTATCTCTCGGCAGAAACTGATAGGTTTCCGTACCAAAAAATATATATTTTGTTTTAATCGTATTACATGACAGTGGTATGATCTTAAGAAAAAAAAATAAAAGATTTCTGATTTAGATCATCACTTTATTTAGAAAATGATAATGTCATTTTATAAAAGAAAAAACAAATAATTTCTGTACAGGACTGGACTAGTGAATCCATGCATAAATTATAATAAAAAAGTATGTTTGCGCAGTGTTTTTTAAATAATATTTTCCTTTCATAACATGGCGCTATCATATTATGAAGAAAATGATTGCATTATAAATTCAAATGAATAACTCTTTAATAAGAAAAATAATAATAAAATTGAGTATTTTTTTTTTTTTGTTGGAGGAGGGAGGTCAGATTTATTTTAGTGAAAAATGGTTTTTTTATTCTTCTTTTTTTGGTATAACTTGTTCTCAGTGAATAGTAAGGGCCCACTCTTATTCTAATTAGCTTACCAGTTCGGTTGTAGAGTGCATAGTTGCAAGTTGCCATATGTTCTTGCTTATTCATTTCCCAGTCATCACTCATGGCATTCGCGTGGTCTTGAGATTCGTCAGTTTTCGGGTTCAGCACAGGTGATTTTCTCATCAATTCTAATACCATGATAATCCTTACCTAGCATTAACAAACTTGTAACATTTTGCCTACCATTCTTTTCACCCCCAACTGTTTGATAAAATGTCTCTTAAAATATACAATACGGAATATGGTTAATGTCTTTTCTATTTAAGGAATTCTGAATTTTAAGATAGGTCTCCAAAGAGTCCAGGAACAGAATTGCCTAAATTCAAATGTTGTTGCCCCAATTTTCTGAAATTGCCTTTATTTGTATCCGAAGATGTAAACGTACTTGAGGATATATTATAATTTAATATCATATATTTCCAAACCGTGGAAGATTCATTCAAAAAGTTTAACACATGGTTAAATTCCATGTTCCATAATTATTATATAACAACAGATCATAATACAGCATAGACTGATGACACCCTTGAATTAACGAGGAAAGAAATTAGTCAGAGAAATTCCGTTGATGGAATCACAGAGATTATCCAATTCCTTGTTGGTCGTCAGGTTGTCCTCTTTTCTACTACGCTTAAAATATGCTGGTTCATGAGGTGATGGCAAGTTGATTGAAGGGCTGTTGAGGTAGAAAACAATTGTTGCCATTGTAGGTCTATCATTTGGATCTTCTTGAACACATAACAAACCAATGTGGATGCATTTGATGACTTCTTCTTGTGAATAAGGTCCTTCTATATTAGGATCCAATAGTTCTAGTGGGGTTTGCTCTGTCCATTTTGTCCAAGCCTACAATCTCCATTTGTGAACTAATCAAATTCATTCTCTCAACTCGATAGTTTCTACTTTGGAAAAGAAAAATCTAAGAAATTTTGTACTCACGTGTCTCCGGATGTCATCAACACATTCCGGTTCAGAAGAACAGCCTTTCCTCTTCCCATTAATAATCTCTAGAACCATGACTCCGAAACTAAAAACATCGGATTTCACAGAAAAGTGTCCGTGCATTGCATATTCTGGAGACATGTAACCACTGTATATAAAACATGTTTGCTTAGTGAGCGACAATGACAATGATTGCCAGGTAAAACAGCACATATGAGAATGTGCAGAAGAGTAGGAAAGAGAAACTTACTATGTCCCTACAATTCTGCCCGTATTGTCCTCAATTTGATCTGCAGCAACAATTCTAGCCATACCAAAATCTGATATTTTTGGATTCATATTACTATCTAACAAAATATTACTAGGTTTTAAATCACGATGTATTATTTTGAGGCAAGAATCCTCATGAAGATACAGAATTCCTCGAGTAACTCCTATGATGATTTTATGACGTTCAGACCAAGATAATATTCCTTGCTTCCGGGTATCTACAAAATAAGTCAAGTTATTCCTAATGGTCGTTTATTCAGTTCAAATCAGGATGGATTTATATAAAGTCATTCATTTTTTGCTTAATGTTTAATATAGTTTACTTTAGAAGGACTATACCAAATAAAAAATAATCAAGGCTCTTGTTTGACATGTACTCATAAATGAGTATCTTTTCTTCACCTTCCAAGCAAAATCCTAGTAACCTCACTAGATTTCTGTGTTGAAGCTGGGCTATAACTTGAACCTCATTTTTAAACTCTACTGCACCTTGCCCGGACCTTCCTGTAAGCCTCTTCACAGCTATTTCTTGTCCATCTGGAAGAATACCCTGAAAAATATATTGAAGTAGTTAATATGGTAAATAAGTAGAAAGCAGGTGATACTCTCTTTTAGTATGGTACTAGTTAACATATTTACCTTATAGACTTCTCCAAATCCGCCTTTGCCTATCCAGTTTTCTTTAGCAAATCTGTTAGTTGCAGCTTCAATTTTGGCTAATTCAAATTGCAAGGACTCCAAAGCAGTAATGTCATTCCCAACTGCAGCAAACAAATTTGAATTCTTTTAAGTTATTTGGCCAAAGGAAATGCTTCATTGAGGTTGCAAAAAAAAGTGCAAGTTTTTCCGCATTACAGCTTTCTTTGAGAATATCATGTTGATTCTTTCTTTCTTTTCTGTATAAAAAGCAGCAGCAGCCCAAAGCTAAAAGCACCAGCGAAACAACAATTGGAACAACGATCACAATTATTGTTATTGTCTTCTGTTTTCCTTTTCCTGCATGAATATCAGTGCCCTGTGTCATTTCTACTTTTCAGCAAGAAGTATTAGACAATAATTATGCAGCTAAACAATAGATTTCTCTGAACTTGTAGACAATTTATCTTAACGGTAACATGCACAATGAATATAGACAACACGTATGATCTCTCTCATAGGTTATGAATTCTTTTTCCACCCTCCTTACTTTCATTCTAAAAAAGTCAAAGATTACCTTCTATTCTTGCAGAAGATATATCTTTTGCCAGATAATAGTCATGGGTTGATAGTAACATATGGTATGGGAATAACTTCATCAAAATAATCTCATTGGACATTACTGTTCTTCCAAAACCACTGGTGCGTGCTATCTCTCATTGTGTAAGAAATGGTAATGAAATTAAGAAAAATTAAAAGAGGGATAATCATAGTTATGAAACCTGGTGGAGCCAAACGGTGTGGCGGGGGCATCCAAGAACCTATCTTGTGTGCCTTGTGGAATGGATATAATTCGTATCTAACACCACAACTGGGATATAATATATTTCCTCCAGATTTTCCTCTGCAGCAACTGGTTGGAATTTCTGCTATGGCATCGCTAAGACACCAGCTGCAATTCTCCATGGATAGGTATAGGACGCACCAAGCGTAGCCATATACCTTTTGGTTGTCTGAGATGTTCACTGACATGTCAGCCAATTTATTAGAAGCATTTGCTGCCACAATTCTCAAATCGTTCATCATATCCCACAGAATATTGTTGAAACGCCCAACCTCACCCACATAATCCTGATCGTTCATAAAGGTCATTTTAGGACTCTCCTCTACGGTGGAGAAGAAAAGACGATCAGAGTAGCGGACAAAGCACACTTGGTACCAAACTATGGCTTCTTTTGCCATCGTGCAGAGTGATAATATAAGTTTGGCTGCTTCTATCACGCACTCTTGGCAGCTTTTTGGGTCGATGTCTTCTGTACAAAGGAAGAAACCATGGACAGTGTCAACAGTGTTTTTGCTAGCAACTGTGGCGTTGTAGGATCTGGCATGGCTAGTGGCATTGGAGGAGAGCCAATCTAGTAGTGTTTTGATGTTGGAACGGTAATAGCTAAGGGCAGCAAAAGTGGTGTTACTTGTGCAGTTATAGTAAGCTTTGGGACCTTGATGGATAGCAGCTTGGATGATGGGAGAGGCAGAGCAAAGAACAGAGAAGGAAAACAAAGTTAGAAGAAGAAGGAACAAATGGAAGGAACCCATGCTTGGAAAGGGGAACCAGTAGCTCAGACAAAGTGCAAACAAAGCATAACAATGTGGGTTTGCAGAATATATCTTCTTTCTTTATAATCTTTAAGGTTAGTGTTAGAACGGTATTAGTCATTACAATGTAATTATCATGCTTTTTTTTTTTTTTTTTGAAAAATAGATATAATGATGATTAGCCCAACGCACTAGTACTTATTTTCCTCCCTTAATTAATTCCTAAGCTCAACCTTTTTTTTGATAGACATGTTGTTACGTCCACTGAATCATTTTATATCAAGACCGACTTCAAGTATCCATTATGAATAATATTATAGCAATTATAATAAGAGTTCGCTTTTTCTATCGTTAATGTAGATAACTTATTTATATTGAGTCTAAAATGATGTCGTTTTGAGACAGAAATCAAGGTATTTTTGTAATTATAATTTATTTCAGAGTTATAATAGTCTTTTTCATTATAATTTTTTAACCCAAAATAATGTCATTTTGAAAGCGAATGTAGATAATTCATCTACATTCACTTTAGAAACATTAAAGTCTTATGACAAGTAACAACCCACTTAAACCAATCCTTGCTACTTTTATTCGACATTCCCACCGGAGTAGGAATGGTAAACAATCCTAAGGTAGTGTTTGGTTTGGGAGAAATTTTTTTTTTACTAGGGAAATGTAATTGATAGGAAAATGGTTGGAAAGTGAGTTTGGTAGGAAAATGTAAAAAAAGTTGTTTGGTTGACCCAAATATTACCAGGGAAATTTATTTAAATATGCAAAATCTATGTTCGGGAGAAACTTTGCATCTGTTTTCTTCACTTCCCCAGTTATCTCAAAATACCACATCTCAAGTGGTATTCTGTAACAGTGAATTTCATCCAAAAATCAACACAAAAGTCATTTTCCCATCTATCTTATTTGTCTGGTATTTTTTGAAAAAACCTGAACCAAACGTGGTATTTTCCAATATCCACTTACACTTTCCCCTCAATCCCAAAATAAACCTTCAACCAAACACTACCTAAACGAATAAGGGGATTTTCAAGGATCTTTGGCCCAATTGGTGAAGGGAGAGCTTACATATCTATAATTAGTTATTAGAATTAGGTTTTAATTTGTATAAAAATTTCTTTAATAAAAAGGGTTAGACTACAATTCAAAAGTCTAGCCTTAAAGCCTCCCAGGTTGGTCTAATATACTAATTTTTATTTTTATTTTATATTTTTTATACTACTCATAATAGCACTCTCTCTCCTCAACCAATTTCACCCTGTTTAATTGGTTAAACATAATTTTTGAATGATTTCGTTCTATATCATGTTGTTTGGATATACATTAAATTTATAAATTTTTATGGAATTATTAGAGCTGTTGATCATATATTCTATTTTGATAAATTTTTGTTGTGTTATTTTTTTTAACAGGTCAAATCAAACTTTTATATTTTGTAAATAAGTCAGGCCAAAGACCGATAATTATATTCATAACAAGTAACAGGTTAAACCATACTGACATATTTAAACACAGACTTAACCCCTACACCCACCGAAGCTTACTTATCCATCCAAAAAAAACCATCATTATTATATTTAATGGAATACTAATTAATTTATACTCGTGTATTAAAATTAAATATTTACATTTATTAATTATTTATTTAATAAATAAATTTTAATATATATTTAATTATTTTATTTTATTTTAAGAACATTTTATAGTTAAAAAATTTTAAAAATAATTTTTGGTATGTATACTTATGATCTCAAAAAATAATATAAAGTTACTAATATTTACAATATAATAATATATAATTTGTTTTTATTTTATTTATATGTAGCAATATTCAGATGCACTTTTTTAACTTTAAATGCATAATTTAAATGGAATTTATTATATTTTTTCGTAATTTTTTTTATTATAGTTATTTTGACATGTTAATTAATTCTTTAAGGAAATGAAAAATATTTAATTATTTATAATAATTTTTTTCATTTTATAAAATAATTTTATAACTCATTTTTAAATACATTTTCATAATTTTTCTTTAAACACATGACAAACTAATCAAAATCCTTATTTATTATTTATGTTTTATGTAATATGTATAAATTTATTTACCAAAAAAAATATGTATAAATTTTTTTAAAGTATCTTACGTTAATATTATTAGTATAAAAAAATAAAAATATATCATGAACAAAATATCAATAGATTAAATAACATTATTTAAATAATTTTTTGGTAAAGTCTAAAGTCTATTAAAAGAGAAAGAGAGAGGTTTACACAGAGAGAGAGAGAGGTTTACACACACAGAGAGTGAGAGAGAGAATGGGACCATGTACAAAAAAAAGATAACGGGACATAGTGTGATTTGAAATATCTCCTTCCTTGTCTAAATCAACCAAACATTGTATCTGGCTTGCCATTTGTTACAGTTTTTTATTTTTATTGTTTTATTATTATTTTATGAATTGTTGGTTTGTTTAAAGAAAAAAGTGTTTATCTTTTTAAATGACACAACTTATATCCTTTCACTCTCATAAAGAGGTGAGACCCACGCCTTTATTTTTTTGTCAACTCTCTCTCCTCCTTTATCTATCTTTTTCTCTCTCTTAAAATGACACAACTTTACATCTTTTAAAATGACACACACTTTACCCTTGTTTAAATAATAGGTTGTCTGTTATCAAAAAAAAAAAAAAATAATAGGTTGTGGATAATTATTTTGTTTGTTTTGTTATTTATCAGGGAAATGGATCTCATGTGAAAAAAAACATGACATGGTCATGTGAGAAGATCACAACCATACAAAGGTAAATCAACGGTTATGATTTTGTAACTATCTATTTTAATATTTTCTCTCTCTCCTCCTTTATTACCATTGATCTACCTTTGTATGGTTATGATTTCTTACATGACATGGTCATGTGAATTTTCACGAATCCAGATCCAACTATCAGTGAAGCCTATAAGAAGAATTATTTGGAAAAAAATACTTTGTGTAATAGGTTAGGCTTCCTTAGTAAAGCCATTTGATGTCAGACCTCCTCGATAAAATCAAATTCCCATTTTAATATTTTTATTCGTAACAATTGGTATTAGAACCAGGCACAAACACCACGCATGGAGAAACAATTGGAAAGATTAAGATTTTGGCAGATCAATTCAAGGAGATGCTTATCAAACTCTCCAATCGGCTAAATGCTCTAATACCAACAACCAAACCATCCCAATTCTATTGTTCTCATTTCATACGTGAGACTTCCACATCCAAACATTTATCTCTTTCTCTCTCCACCAAAAGAGCAACTCACCTCAACATTACCATTAAAAATTTAAATAGTGTCGAAGTATCTCTATCAAATAAGGCCCCTCAACCAAGATCTCACTTTCATTTAGACATGGGATATCCAATAAGAAATTCAATTCTAAAATTCTTTGAGAAGAAGAAAGAAAGAGTTGAGGCGAGAGGACGTTTTCCAATTAACAGCAAAGGAAAGATGGACATGGATATTGAAGATGATTCATTTACTTGATCTTGATTTTATTCTTGAGGACAAAAGTAATTTTTAGGGGAGGGAATGTTACAATTTTTTTTATTATTTTATGAATTGTTGGTTTGTTTAAATAGTGGGTTGTGGGTAGTTATTTTGTTTGTTTTATTATTTGAATTTCAACTTTAGACATTAGCTATTAGTGGAGCCTATTTAGTGTTAGTGAGTAGTTACTTTGTTGACTTATATTATCTATTTAAACCTTGAAATATTTGAATAAAGATCGTCAGAAGAATTATTTGAAAAAAAACATTTTGTTGTAAGAGGTCAGATTTTCTTAGTAAAGTCATTTGAGTTGATGCTTCCTTAATAAAGTCAAATTCTTGTTTTAATTTTTTTGTTCGTAACAATTCTTGTATCATTATCGGGGTAGGATATTGTAACAATTAATTAGTGTTACTATCAATATTACTACCAATCAATTTCACCGTTAGATCGATTATGTTGATCCAACGGTTATATTTATTTTTATCTTTGTACGGTTATGATTATTCATATTTAATGTGAAAGCATTAAATTTAGGAAATCATAACCATACAAAGGTAAAAATAAATATAAAGCATTAAATATAGAGAATCATAACTATACAAAGATGAAAATAAATATAACTGTTGAATCAACCTAATCGATCTAACGGTGAAATTGTTTGATAATAACACTAATTGGTTGTTACAATATCATATCTCATCATTCTATTCACATGTGGGCTGATGTATCTCCAACCGTCCAACGTCAACCTTTTCTTATACATTTTTTTTTTCTGCACCCCACATTTTATTGCTGCATTCATTTCTCCAAATGCATAACACATAAATCATAAAATAACAATAAAATGCACGTTATTCCGGTGTGTGTATAATTTATACATCATAATAACCCCCAGTGTTCAGATATTGCGATTGTGGGGACATTATTGTCTGCTTGTGTTTGAGATTTTCAATCATTACATGTAAAAAGAACTCACGTATACTCCAGGCGGCTATATTTAAAAACCAAACACATCATATTGAATAAGTCACAGTCGAAGGCGATGTATATGTCCATTGAATTAGACACTACAAAGGACTAATGGAGATGAATCACTTAGCATTTGTTTGAGAGATATCATTTGGAGCGGAAGGAAATCTCGTGTCTTGTGAGTTTAAAAAAATAGGAAAAGAGAATTAGGGTTTTTTATAAAACTCTTTAAAACCCTTCACACAAGTTCTCCTAATTTGAGGGCGGAAATATTAAAAATTACTTATTTACCATTAGCATTAAATCGTAAAAATTACATAAGTGTGAATCATTTTTTAAATGTGACACTACCAAAAAAGTTTCAACTACCGACAGAATTTAATACGAAAAATATTTCATCAAAATTACTGTTAAATTTTCAATGAAATTTATATATCAACGAAAATAAAGTCGATGTATATATTAAGGAGTTTGGAAGGAAAGGGAAGAAAGAGAATTCAGGGGAGAGGGGAAAGAAGAGAAGGAAATTGAAGGGTAGTCTCTTTCCTTGTTTAAGAGTTAAAAAAATGGTAAAGAAAAAATAGAAGGTTAATGAGATATTTTTATTATTTTACAAATTTTTTCAAAAATTAATATAATTATTATATTTTACAAAGTAAATTAAATTTAAATTTAAAAGAATTTATTTATGTACTTTTCCTACAACTAAAAAATATCGTATTTTCAATGGACGTTTCGAATTACGAAAAATATGTTTTCGATGGAATTTTTTCGTCGAAAGGGGAAAAAAAAAATTATCTGTCAAAATATATTTGCGTCAAATTTTTTGACATGACATAATTTCGTCAAATTTTTTTTATAGGATTTAGTTTCCGTTAAAAGTTTTGACGAACATGATTTTTTAAATATTTTCAACAGAAAAAATTTCATCGAAAGTTTCGACAGAAAAAATAATTCCGTCCAAATTTCTGACATAAATGTTTTTCGTCAATTTTTTACGGTAATGCTTTCAATAAAAAAAAAAATTATGAAAATGTGTTTCGTCAAAAATTTCGACGAAAATATTTTTTTATCAAAAATTCGGACAAAAAATATTTTCGACAAAACTTTGGACGAAATTTAGATTCTGTCAAGAATTTTGAAGGAATTTTTTTCTTCAAAATGTTTTCTTTCGAAAAAATTTCGTTGGAAATGTTTTCCGTTGAAAATTTTGACTGAAATATTTTTCGTCAAAAATTTTGACATAAATATTTCCGTCGAAAGTTTCGACAAAAATTAGATTCCATACAAAATTTTGATGGAATTTTTTGCATCAAATTTTTGGACGAAAATATTTTCCGTCAAAATTTTTGACGAAAATGTTTTCTATTGAAATTTTCATAGAAATGTGCTTCGCCTACAATTTTGACATAAATATTTCCCTCAAAACTTTCGATGAAATTTTGACGAAAATATTTTCTGTCAAAATTATCAAAGAAAATGTATTCCGGTAAAAATTTTCAACGAAAATATGTTCCATCGAAAATTTGGACGAAAATATTGTTCGTCGAAAATTTTCATTATGCAAGTCTCCTTTAATTAAATGCTTTCTTCTTTCTTTTTTATTAATTTAACACATTACAACATTTTTTGAGAATAGTCTCGTGATTCTTCCTCTGTCTACTGCGTAGAAAACCCAAAGAGAATAGCACCTCAGATACAACTAATACTACAACCACAACGATCACTGATATGAAATGTTTTCTTTTTCCTGCATGAACATCAATACGTTGTGTCATTGACATAGATTCCTGTAAGAATATTACATTGATGCTTACTTGAAGAGAAAAATTGTAAAAGGCTTTGTTAATAGTTATGTCAAACCAAACCTGGTGGTGCTAAAGCGCGAAAAGGACCCACTGTAGAATTTAGTTACGAGTGTTTTGCTGAAGCCATTGAATGGTAAAATGGATATAATTCATATCTAACACCGCAAGTGGGGTAAATAACTCTTCCTCCAATTTTAGCTCTACAACAAGAGGTTGGAATTTCTGCTATGGCATCGCTGAGACACCAACAACAGTTGTCATAGGAAAGGTATAGGATACAATATCCCATTGCATATAGCATTTGTTTAGCTGTGATGTTCTCTAACTTGTAACCATACTTCATAATGCCAGAAGGAGCATTCGCTGTTATAAAAATCACATAGTCCATGGTTTCCCAGAGTATGCTGTTGAACTGGCCAACCTGTCCCCCGTAGTCTTGTTCATTCATGAAGATAAGTTTAGGAATCTCTTCGACTGTGGTGAAGAAATAATGATTGGAGTAACGCATGAAGCAATTATCAGCCCAAAGCATGGCTTCCTTTGCCATGGGATACAGTTTTTTTATCACCTTGGCTGAGTTTATCACGCAATCTTTACAATTAGGATCCCCATCTCCTATTGTGCACATGAAAAGACCATAGATGGTGTCTGAAGAAGTGCTGCCTTCTACAATGCTGGTGCTGTAGATTTGGGAGGTGTTTGTGGCATCAGAGGAAAGCCATGACAGAAGAGTCTCAAGGTTGGTATTGTAGGTGCTATTGGGTTCGTAAGTGTTGTTGATTGAACAGTTATAGTAAGGTGGTGGCAGGTAAGAAGATATACTTGTAGCAGCTGGAGTATGGTTGAAGAATGCAAGGGAAAAGATAATTGAGCGTAGCATGTCCTGCAACGGGGGACAAGGGAGTTTCCACAAACTCTCAGAGAAATTAATAGAATTAGGAGGCATAAAGAATAAAACTAGAATTAGGCCGAACTTTGAAACATCGACCAAAGTGTCACTTTTTGGCAATTTTTTTATCCAAATGTTACACAAACGGTACTTTTTACTAGCTGTCACACATCGAAGTTTGCTACGACTGGTAGCGAACTTCGTCGCCTATGATTTCGTGATACGTGGCCATATTACGTACCAAAATCGCTACCAATAGCAAACTTAGTTCAGTTAGCTTTTTCTTGCGAAAGTATGTCATATGTTACAAAATCATTGGCGAACAAAGTTTGCTATTAGTCGTAGCGAATTACATCGCGTGAGGATAAAAAATTTGCCAAAAAGTCGATGATCCTTAATGGACATAGTCAATAGCATTAATTAATGGAATGAACCTTGTTAAAATACAAAGCCCACATACAATTTTGAAAATAGTTGATATTTAATGCATAGCCTCACAACAATCTGTTTGGTGGGTATAGCAACGCTTATCAACTGTGCCACCTGTAGGATTAAAATAAGGGAAAAACTATCAACTGTGCCACCTGTAGGATTAAAATAAGGGAAAAACATTTTTATACTGCAGATAAGTTATCTACATTTATTACTAAAACGATGTCGTTTTGATATTGAAATTTTAAAAAATTATAAATATAAAGATTATTATAACCCTGAAATAAATTAAAATTACAAAAATACTATGATTTCCGCTCCAAAATAACGTCGTATTGGACTTACTGCAGATAACTTATCTGTAATAACTGCAAAAAAACAAACCCTTAAAATAAATGATTTTTTAATTCCCCCAAAAATATCAAGGGGAGATGATTTTCTCCTCCTATGCTCTCATATCATTTTTTTAAGTATGATGGGACCCATCATGTAAATGTATGTGTGGTAGGAGATTAAAATTTAAATGTTCTTTCTATTCCCCCAAAAAAATCAAGGGGAGATGGAGAAAATCATCTCTTGTTGCTCTCACGTCATTTTTTTAAGTATGATGGGGCCCACCGTGTAAATATTAGTATGATAGGAGATTAAAATTTTGCAGCAACATAAATTTTTTGTTGTTGCCAAAAACGAATGTTTTCTTTGTGATAATATTTAAGGTTCAAAATCAAATAAATACTAATATTCAATATTATTAAACCTGAATCGATTATTGACTTAGGTGGTGTATTGAGTCAATAATTCAACTGATTAAATTAAAATTATATAATAAATATTAAATTATAAATATTATAACCAACAAATAAAATTGATCTAATGATAAGCCTTTCAATTATTAAATATCTTGACTCAAGTTCAAATCCTTGTCTTTCTGGATTAACCGGTCCGATTCGATTTTCATACAATTGCTATTATTAAAGATTCTCATCGTATCAAATTTTTGTACAATTCATCAATAAATAAATCCTGTATTATTATACTAAATTAAATGTAATCATTGTTTCTAACTGTTTGTGATATTTTTATGGGTTTGATATTTGTCATTTTAAATGACATAAGTTATGTTATTTTAGGAAAAAGATAGACACAAAAAATGAAAATCATAGAGGAGAAAGTGGATGGTTTTTTTTTTAATTTAAATTTTAAATAAAAAATTTTATTTTGTGTCTATCTCTCTCTTAAAATGACATAATTTTGTGTCATTTAAAATGACAAACATTTTTCCTGATTTTATACCACTTATATTTATGTAGTAATAAAGGACAAGTGCCACGTAATGGAACTCTAAAAATAGTTTTTATTTGTAATGTAATAAATCCCAATACAAATATCTGAAAATTATGAAGACAACACAGCAGAACAGAGTGATCATAAATCTAAAACAGAAATGCACTATTTTAAAGAATGAAAAAAATGAAAAAGGTGAATGAAGAAACAAAAAATAAATAAATAAGAATTTTTTTATTTTTTGAGAATCGATTAAAAACAAAATAGTGAAATTACAAGGCCATGTCCATGTGACGTGCCAAGCAGCGTTCTCAAGAGAAGTAGACGGGGCACCTCTTGTCCTTGTAATTGGATAAGAGGGAGCCATCGGGTCCCACGCCCACTTCACAGTTGGCGTGCATCGTGTGACGCCTGCTGTTCCACGTGGAAATCTTGAATCTGATCACGGACGTCAATTCCAACCGGAACACCACGCTACCATCAGCCCTATCGCTCTGGAACTCTGCCCAACTCTGGCTACTAACGGTCAACGTGGCACCACCGAGAACGCCATCCACCTCTTTCGTGTTCTTGGGCCCCTGGTAAAACGGAAAAGGTAACGGCGTCGACCCGATTTTCTGGTCATGGTAATAAACCGACCCGCCCATGGACTCGTAGTAAACCCCGATGTTCTGGTTGGAGTTTCGGGCGGTCACGTTGAAGGTGATCTGGGCATTTTCGAAACCGGATTCTTGGGCCAGACCCGGGATGGTGAACTGGTGGATAAAGAACCTGGGCCGGTGGGGCCTGAGGCTGAGCCAGAGGATGAAAGTGATGAGCCCAATAATGGCTAGGAGGCCCAAGAAGGTGGCGCAGATGACCTTGGAGACCCGGGTGGTGAGGCTGTCACGGACACGATGGACGTAGTACCGGGCGGTGTGGTGGCGCTTCATGGGTCTCGGGTTCGGACCTGGGACATGGTGAACGGGTACGTGGTCGTGGCTGTACATTTTGGTTTTGTGTTCGATATAGGAGATGGTGAATGATGCGCTTGAGAAATGAACAACGCTTGTTGTTGTGGTTTTGTAGTGAAGTTGCAGAGAGTAGAAAAGGAAGGAACGGAACTTGGAACTTGGAACTTTGAGTATGGTGCGTGGACAAAGAAAAGAATAAGCTTTTCTGTAGTAGTTTTAACAATTTTTTTATCAACTACCAGCAGCTCTATATATATATATATATATAGCGAAGGAATAAAGAAGAAATAAGAAGTGTTTTCAATTTTTCATCAAGATCATGCTTGTTATATATATATATATATATATATATATATATATATATATATATATATATATATATATATATATATATAGCAATGAATATAATTAAAGAATGATGGGTAATTAATTATTTAGACGGGAATAAGGTATAAATTAAGGTTTCGTATAATGTTGCATAAAGTATATATACGAATTCCAGTTAAGGAGATCAAGGCATGTGTATTTGGGGACCCATCTGCATATTACTTTAGGCTCCCACATGCATATATTTCTTCAATTTCATTTCATTGCCTAATTCCCAAGTCACCAAGGAACGGTTTTACAGCATTAGACAGTTTGCAAATCTGGAACTATGTACTCTCACTGTGATTTACAAATCTAGAATAACTCTCAATACTCACTGAAGATAAAAATAGAAAAGAAAACACATGATACGATTTAACAGGAAAATATCTGATATATGCGAACGACTTTTGTAAAGCAAACAATCAAGCATACAACCCTGTAAAAAGGAAGTGTGAAAAGGAAAAAGATTAAGGTAGAATTAAAAATATACGAGGTTCATGTTCAACTGTTAAACTAATCTATTATTCAACGGAATACAAATACAATAATTAATATCAAACTCCATCAAATGGAGGTTGATAGCCCAATCTTCTATCAGTTATAGTATGGACCAGCTAGCATAGTGAAAAACTCCGTTGCTCTACCTAGCCCCAAATTGAGAATAAGACTGCAATTGAAAGGGCTTGCAGGCTTGACAAATGGCCCAGCAAATATTGGAAAATTTTCTTTGGAGAGGGGTTCGATATTTATTTTAATATAGCATAGACTTAATGATTTAATTTTGATGCATTAATAATTTTAAAAAGTAACCTATGATGATAATTATCTTTAAAAAATATAGCTAAAAATATTAATTATTAAAATGGTTTAATAATTTTTATTTTCTAACAGTAAATGTTTTTAATAATAATACATCGAATTTAAACTTTTGGTTCTAAACCAACTAAAAAAAAAGCAGTAGATATAAAGCGAGAGAAAATATATAACTCTAAATAACCATTTCAACCCAAAAGTTTAATTTGATCGGTAATAAACTTTTTAATATTTTATATTATTCTCTAACATGTCTCCTTAAACAAGAGCCCACAGAACTTATAAGGTGAATAACGCACAAGTTCAATTGTTTTTACATATCCAAATGGGTAAACAAAAAAACAAAACATTTTTTTGCAAGATATAAATTATTAATATTTTTTAAATCAATAATTCTGCTTACTTAGTAATCAACAAGAGAGAACCATAATTGTGATTTTTTTTTTCACATAATGGGTATGGATCAAGTTTATGATCAATGCGTTATTATTAAAAAAAAGTCAGGTCTAAAAATGATCCAAATAAAAGTGGGTCAGTATTTAAACTCAGTTCAAAAAAATAAGTATTTATTGGTCAGATCAAAGACAGCAAATCAGTTTTTTGCACACCCCTAATCTGAGATAGTATCTGTCGATGATAACAATTAAAGACCAAATTGATCCTCACAAGTTCACCGCCACACGAGGTTAAAGGAAGCAATCTATGCCGTTAGAAGACCAAAAAAAAACCTCAAGGCTTGGCTGGCGTACAGTTGATAAGCGAGTTGTGACTAAGGAACGGAGGATTGTGATTGAAAGATCGTTGGTTACATTTCTAGCACCTTGGAACTAGTGGTGAAAGCCTTCACGCTCTACTCCACAAAGGTGATTAATCTCATTCAAATGGATAGGGACACACCTGAAAAAAAAAAACTAAAAACTAAAAAGAGGAGGAATACAACTCTTATTAGGGGTGTTCACCAACTGATCCAAACCGATTCAAATTGTGGTGATCGAACTGAAAAAACCGATAACCAAATAAATCGAAAACTGAAAAAACGAAAATCGAAAAAAAATCGCAAAATTTAATTGGATTGGATCGGTTTTCGGATTGGTTGATGAAAATCGATCCAATATATTAATTCCCCTCTATCAATTTAGGCATTTCCCTAATCATAGCCCAAAATTTTTTAAACTCAAGACTCATTAACCCATCAACTAAACCCAAGAAAAAATTTAGTCACATCTCATCAACAAATTTTCATCTGTGTAGAGTTTCATATCTTATTGCCAATTTTTATTTTTTTACAAAAGATGTTATTTGCACAATAATCATGAAATAAATTTTAGAATTCTCAAAAAACCGAAAACCGATCCAATCCGAACCGAAAAAAATTGGATTGGATTGGATCGGATCGGATTTGAAAAAAAATTAAAACCAAATGGATGATTACATGATCAAGCCGAAGGAATTGAATCAGATGATTTTTGCTTCCAAAACCTATCCAATCCAGACCGCGAACACCCCTAACTCCTGTAGTTACGATAATTCTACAGTTCTTTCAACATATAATTTAGGGTCTCTCTCTTTTTCTGCTACTGTAAAAAAATTATTTTTTTGTTTTTCTCTTTCTCTCCACGTTAGCTGATAACTTTTGAAGAGAGAAAAAAAAATAGTTTTAATGTTATAATTATATAATTTCTGGAGTATATAATTATATTCGGTGGTAGAAGAAGATTTCTTTTGCAACAACATAATAAGTAAATTTCCCTATAATATATCATTGAATAAAAAAACAAACCATTTTAGCTTCTACCCTTTTGTTAGTATGTGCAATATACTATACTACATACAAATACATTCCTTTCAATCCAGTATTGAGAACTTGTCGCATGCAAAGTGACCACATACTTTGAATGTACTCAACGGGTATGGGTTTGAATTTAAAGGCCACCAAGATTATTTTAGTGAGGATAGGCAACGAGTGGTTGGAGTAAGAATGGTGTAAACCATGAGGATTCTATTCTCTCTCGAAAAAATTTCAGAGTAAGATTTGTTTAACTCTTTATCATTCGGTGTCTGTTTGGATCTTCTCCTTTTTAAGTTAGAAGCTACTTGTAAGCATAAGCTAGGCCAAACAGATTTTGGGAAAAACTCTTATAATGAAAAACTCTTTTTTTATAATGAAGAAAAAAATTGAAAACTAAAAGCTACTAGGAGGAGCTTTTTTAAGCTCTTATATGTTTTTCTTGAATTGTGTGTTTTTTTTTAAAATGAAGAGTGATAAAGATAAAGAGAGATAATTTTCTTGAAATATGTGCTTTTAAGTAATTTTTAAGCTAAAATTTTTATTTAATTTTCAAACAGCTTTTATCTTCTTTTTTTTAGCTTTAGCTTATAAGTAACTTCTAGCTTAAAAATAAGAGGATCCAAACAGGCTCTCAATGTGTATTGCCTTAGTGATGATATTAAAATATTATTAAAATTGAGGTAATTATAAAGCGCAATTCAACTTAAAATTTTAAGTGGTCAGTGAAGATCATTTTCTAATGTTATATTTTTTTTAATATGCTTCTTCACATAAGAGTATATTGGACTTTAAGAGTGGACAATAGATAGATCTATTTACTTATAATAAAAATCTTCATAATATTTAATTATTTATTAATAGAATGTGGACTTTGAAGATCGAACATGTTACTACTTGGTTACAAATACTTTAATACCATGTTATGAACCAATTTAACAAAAAAAAACTTAAGGTATTAAATAAATATAAAATTAATAGTTTCATATTATATTTTTTTAACGATAAATATGGTAAGAATTTAATTTTGCTCTTGAAGTCACTTAGGGGACATTTGGTATCCGGAATATTTTTCATTCCCCGGGAAACCAGCCTTGGCTACATAACAATCTCGCGTTTGGTAACAAAAAATGCATAACTTTCCAGACTAAATATTTTCCCCGGGGATGGCTGTTGTGTGTAAGTTTTTGTACAGTCCCCAGCTCCAAAGTTCCATGGATTATATGGAAATGTTTCTTGACCGGGGAAGTGGAAAATAAGCCGTGAAGATGCTGACCAAATTAACCTTCTGATCTGTGTGAGACCATTAGCTGGCTCACTACCATTTCGATCAATGAAAAGTCAAGTGTTTTTTTATCATTTTCATACAAGTTTTTGTAAAGCTGTAGTAGCAGCATCAGCACATACTCGCTGTAGATCTGGATTATAGGGAATGATTGTTTTCAACTTGACCAATATCATGTCTTCATGCACTTGGTTGTTATGCTTTGGTGCAGAAGCTTGAACAATATCTACATCTTTTTAGTTGAAAAATGCTATGAAGGAGAAGGTAAATGAGACTTTAGCAACATTGTCAAATCTGATATCTTGAACGATGAGTATGAGTAAGGTTATTAAATTTTTTAAATGAAAAGTAAAGGTGGGGTTATTTTGGTAAAATAACCTCACATTCCCACTAATATTTCATAACCAACCAAACATAAACTCAGTAAAATTAACTTAATTTTTTCAGGAAAATATAAGTCTACCAAACAACTTTTTAGTAATATTCTAATAAAATATATTTTCCACTATATTTCGGTAATAATTATTTTCCGGATAAAAAAAAATTCTCCTGTACCAAACGCCTTTTTAAGATTTTCTCTATACTCTAGTAGAGAATTTGTTCTCTGGCACGGCTTTTATACAGAAAAGGAGGATGAGAGGATTAGCAAACAACTTAGGCACTGTAGCGATCTTATTTAATTGCCCGCATGCATAGTATATATGTTGAGAATCCAATTGTGAGGAGTGAAATCCTACATTAGTTATAGATAAAATGGACAAAATGGGTATGTAAGGGATATGACGCGTAAATCTAAATTAAATTTTTTAAATGAAAAGTAAAGGTGGGGTTATTTTGGTAAAATAACCTCACATTCCCACTAATATTTCATAACCAACCAAACATAAACTCAGTAAAAT